CGTGAAATATCATAAAAAAAATTTTTATTTTAAAAAATTTCGATTTAAGCCAAATCTTTCGATTTATTTTAAAAAATGATTTTCGAAAATTTTACGGGTCCCTGTGTGTTTGATGTATGTGGCGCAATTTAATTTTCAACCAATCACAATTCTGTACAAATATTGATGATTTTTGAGAACGCGTCTTGCCAAACAAGAAAAAAGGTTATACTATAGATATAAAACCTCTAAAAAATAATTGTTTTTGAGCATTATTGGTAAGTTTAAAGGAAGAAATTAATGACAAATAACTTCTGGGATTTGTGATTTCGAATATAAATGTAGAGAAAAAAATTAGATATAATAGAATTAAAAGTTTTGATTAAATTTTTTAAATCTTTATTATAAAAATATAATCTAATGAATTTTTTTTTTGCTACTTTATGATACCAATAAATGATTTTTAACTCATTTTATATCTTTATTAAAATGATAACGGCTAAATTATACTTTGCAATTTCATGATGCCAATCAATTTAAAATTTGATCAGTAATTAAAGTCTAAACAAAGAAAAAATTGTTATATTTAAATATAAAAAATAAAAACAAAAGAAGAATAAAAAATAAAATATTATACCTTCAATTTGGCTTATTTTTTAATATATTTTCACTTAAGTTATGCACCTTTTTATCAGTTTTACTCTTCTTTCAACAAGGAATGACTTGAGGATCTAAGTTTTTCTTTATTTCACTAATAGTATTAGGTAGTTTTCATTTAGTATCTCTTGATTCTGTTTTACAATGTTTAATAAATTCTACTTAAATGCGAATCATAGAACCACTTTTAACACGACTTGTTAGATCTGCATTTTGGTTAATATCATAAAGAAAGGAAACTAATTGAGAAATAGATTTCAATTTTACCATTTGATACCACTCTGCAAACTTATTCAATGCAATGTACAATTGTAAACTGGAGTTTTGATAATCTGCTTTCATTTCTTTCAAAAAAGAATCAAATAATGAAATATCAATTTCTTCATTCACATCATTTGATTTCCTATAAATTTAAAGAAAAAAATTGATTTAAAATTAATTAAACTCTTTAATGAGATCTAATAAAACTCCTTTCTAATACAACTTTCCAAAATGTTATTTTAAAAAAAAAATACAAACTTTTGATCAGAAACTAACAAATTTTCACTTCTTATTTGTAAAACCTTTTGATCTTGTAAAATAAATTCTGAACGTAAGGATGCATAAAAAGAACTATCATTTGCTATATATCCTAAAATATTAAATAAAAATTAGTCAGAAGTCTCTAATTTTTATTAAATACCCTTTTACTTACCAAATGCAACATATGCATAAAGCATACGATCATCAAATGTTAATGATGACAAAAAATTAAAATTGCAATGTGGTATTTCATTGCTACTGCTTTTTGATACTTATAAGAAGCATTAAACATACCGGTAATATAGGAATACATTCTCGCTATTCACAATGTAAACAAGATCAGTATCTTATCTTGTATTTTATATCAAAAATTCATACTCTACATCCATCCTTTGAATGGAATTTATATTTACAGTCTCCCATTCAGAATATAAAAAACGTCTTGAAATATGTAAATGCTTAGGATATCTATGTGCAAATCCAAGTAATTGGTACTCATAAAATCTTTCTATGTTAGTAACTACAAATTGAAATACTTATACAGAATTGTATGCCTGTGTTCTTGCAAAAACTATATCTTTTAAAATGTCAAAACTTCACTTGACATAATTATTTGTATAATTTTTGCGTATTAAAAGTCCTGCATGAAATGATAAAATCCAGCAGCTATGACAGCTCCATAAAAGCTCAAAATGTCTTTATAAAAGAGAATAAATACGATAAAAACTTTTTTAAACTTGTTATAATATATGTCTATTTCTGAACTAGAAGATGCGTAGAGTATCTTCTTCATTTTTCCATTATAGGCATCTGATTCTCCTTGTTAATATTATATTTTAAATCATAAATTCACCTTCAAAAGGTTTGTAAAACATGAAATATGTATAAAAGTCGAATCCTTTTTGATAAATTTTAATTCAATTGAATTAAAAAGGTTTTTTTATTTAGGAATTACCAATTACAAATAGGAATATTACCTTGCGGCCAATATAACTTTAAAGCGTTACGCTCAACACTCGAATTGTCTGTTAAAAAAACTATTAGACCAACCTATGAGCTGCGTTCAAAGAATCATATGGCAGAAGAATTGTTTTTAATAAATTGATTGCCTTTTCTAATGTGATTTTAAGCTGATTTGAAGTAATAAATAATCTGAGTGAAAGAGCTCTGACTATTAAAAAAGATAAGGTATTATAATAATTAAAATTAAATATATTATTTAATAACATGATAATAAATCTTTATTATAATTATAACAAATAATTACAAAATAAAAACGAAATATTAACTATAGTAAAAAAATTTAGCATAAGTAAAATTCGTTACATATGCTATTTTTTATAAAATTTTTAAAATTCCCTTTCTAAATTCTAAATAAACTTATCATTTTTTCAATTATAATTTTAACTACATCAGACCATCCTTAATTTTTTTTAATCAAATGTAAAAAATATAATTGATACCTGTACAACTAGTAAAATAAAGAGTAATTGAAGTATTAAGAGGTTTAAATGAAGACGATGCATCTATATAACATAACTCGCCTGCCTATTATATTTTTTTATGTACTCGACACATTAAATTAGTGACAATGCATAAAATAAATGCCTTTTCACTATTCATATCGTATTCTTGTAAAACTGCTCTACCTCAATTTGAATTATTGTAATCTTTGACAATTTCTACTAAATGTTCAAATATTAGTTTACCATTGCAACCGCCAAATATAGTTTCACGATATTGCTGAAAAAGATTAGAAATATAACCATAATCCAGATTGTCAACCCTATTCACAAGTAATTTTAACAATTCCTGTTCATTTACAGCATTAAGGTAAAGTTTATTCTCATGAGTATATAATGCAGATGAAGGAGAATGTCCATCTTTAAACAATTCTAAAAACTTTTCACGAGTTTCTTTTTTAACAGATTAAAAACTTACCAATTCTGTCAAATTAACAACATGATTATGTGTATAGATTATATTGATTTCTAAAGGATGGGTTTCTAGAAGTTACTAATACTCCAATCAAAAATGAACAGTTGTGATACAACCTATATTTTGTACACAGAATGATTGTGAACATTTTATTTCACGTTGACCTTATTTTTTCTTTACTTCACTGCTATGAATATAGTGATGCATCTCTCAAAAAAGTACCTGATTTCCAGTAATTTTATATTTTCTAGATTCTGACATGGTTGTTTTAAAGAAGATTAAAATTCCATAAACTATTTATATGCTTCTTCTTTATTATTAATATTCACAAAAGCATCCAGTTCGAAATATGAAATTATAAAATTCTCGTTTGTTTGATATGGCATTAATTCCTTAAAATTATCAATTAAATATGTATAATTTTAAGAAAGTGTTCTCTTTAAAAGTTCAGGTAGGAAGTTCCAAGTAAAACCTAAAAAGTTTGATTTTTTTTTCTTTTTTAAAAAATGGATTTAAGATTTAAATATTATATATATAAAAAGCTGAAATTTACATTTTTTATAGTAATATCTATATTAAAAATGATGGTAAAGGTGGTGGTGAAAGTGATGGTAAAAGTGGTGGTGAAAGTTGGTGAAAGTGGCGGTGAAGTGGTGATGAAAGTGGTGGTAAAAATGATAGTAAAAATGGTGATGAAAATGGTAGTAAAAATGGTACTTACACTACCTGAAAATAAGTTTGCGCGGTTTTGAAAAAATAGTAAATAAATTTGTGCAATTTTGAAAAATTAGTTTATCATTATTTTTTTTTAACAAAATATTAATATCTAGTTGGCCAACCATTATTGGCAATACATGCTTTTATTCTTTAAGGCATACTATCAATTAATTTTAGGTAAGTTTCTTGCAGAATTTTTTTCTATTCTTCTTTTAGTTGCACTTCTAAATCTGCAAGATTTTTAGGCAGATCTGAATGGTTACACAACGAACGTTCAAGATGATCCCAAAAATGCTCAATTGGATTCAAATCCAGAGATTGAGCAGACCAATTAATTAACATTTTAATTTTTTTTTAGCAACCCATGCTTTAACATCATTAGCCGTGTGAATAGATGCATTATTATGCTTAAATTTGTAAGATCAGTTACGAAACTTTGAATCAATAAATAGTAACAGGTTATCATTTAAGATTTTTATATAATCATGCCGATTGATTATTCCTTCTATTTTATTAAAAGACCCAATCCTTTGCCTGAAAAACATCTCCAAACCATGACTTTGCCACCACCATATTTAATGGATGGATTTAGGTTTTCAATATTAAAACGAGTGTCTGGTTCACACTAAACTCAAGAAGGACCATCATTATGAAAAAGAGTAAACTTTGATTTGTCGCTCCATATGACATTTCTTCATTGTTATACTGTCTAATTTTGTCTTTCTAAATACCATTTTAGCTGTTTTTGCCATTGATTTTTGTTTAAAAGGGGTTTTTTTGCAGCTCGATAAGAATTGTATCCAATTTTATGCAAATTCTTCTGAATCATTTTGGTATAAATATCTTGACCAGTTGTTGCTGAAAATTTCTTTTGTATTATATCAGCTGAAGTTTTATTATTTTTTTTAACAATTTTTTTTAAAATTTTGCGATCTTTATCATCAAGTAACGGAGGCTGACCACTTTTTTTTTTGCTTAACATGTTATCTGAATCTCCATATCATTGAATTATTGTTCTAACTGTGGACTCTGATTGATTTATAATTCTAACAATATCAGACTTTCTGTGACTACTTTTATATAGTCCGATTATTTGTGCTTGTTCAATAACGGTAAATTCAAGATTTTTACCCATTTTGTTAGAAATAAGTTATCAGATTGATTATCATTATATTATATTTATTTATGATTTAAAATTATTTTTATTTTGTATGCGTTACAATAACAAACAGTTATATAAACAAGAATTAAAGCTTTTGATTAGTATCAAAATCAATTGATTTTATTATATACAATTTTGAATAAAATCCAAAAAACTGATTGTGTAAACTTATTTCTAGGTAATGTATAACTGTGTTTAAAATAATATTAAAAATAAGCCCGAATTTTCAAATTTCTCTAAAGTTCAATATATAAAATTGTGGTTGCTTTATAACTAAGCTATATATGAAAATATTTAATGAATTTTTATTAACTCTAATTTCGAATTAATAACTTTGTTGAAAATAAATGGTCTTACCATACTTCTAAGTTCAAGAGTAAAACAAGCAAAAAAAATAAAGGCACAAGACGAAATGCAAAGCAAAATGCAAAGCGAAGGGCTTAGTATGTGGAAATTTTTTAAAAAAAATGTAAGATAATGTAATAGATTTCATATGATTATGCGCGTCATTTCTGCATGTCTCAAATTTCTATTTTAATTAGTTGAAATAAACAATTATCTGATTGGGTTGATTATTAATTGTGGCGTAGATATGTGGCAAGTCACGTGATTCAGCATAACCTAACACACATTTGAGATATCAGTCATGTGAAATATCCGATGAAAATCATTTTTATATTAAAATAAAATTTGTGTAACTAATATTAGGATATTTCACTTTATAGCTAACCATTGAAACTTCCATCATATTAAACATATATGAATTAGGCGAGTTGATAGAATATCACGTGCTCTATTAATTTTTATTATCGAATTTTTTTTTTAGCGATTTTTTTTTTATTTATTATATTCCATAGAAACTCGTTTAAAATGTAAACTTTTTAAGATCCTTTTAAAAGTAACAATAAATTCACAGCCTTAATAGTAGAAATATATACAACTTTATGAGAAGAAAAGATTATTTTAAGTTTATTAAAGTGATTATTTAAACGGATTTTTATATAAAATACAAAAACTGAATTATAGAAAGTTTTAGTTCAATTCATTGTATAATGTCACAACAAAAAAGCCAGGTTTGTTTATTTTATTATTAGTTAATAGTATATTCTTATATTTACAACCTTAAACTAATTATATTT